CTTTCTTTCTTTCTTTCTTTCTTTCTTTCTTTCTTTCTTTCTTTCTGAGACAGGGTTTCTCTGTGTAGCCCTGGCTGTCCTGGAACTCACACTGTGGAACAGGATGATCTCAAACCTAGAGATCCACCTCTCTAGGGCTGGGATTAAAGGCATATGCCACCACTGCCCAGTAAGATGTATGTTTTTTATTGCATTGATGGTACCATTTCCAATCTTTCATTCTATGACTAAAGATATGAATAGAACATTAAAGAAAAAGTCATGACTAAGATATATTGGAACTGCAGTTGACACAAATTAGAGATAAATTAATTTTTTATCAGACCCTGAATATTCACGTCTAGGGATGTTAAAAATATATTCTACAAGCCTTTAACAATGAATTATTTTCATATTGTGAATAACTTACTTAGACAGTAGGAGAAATAAAAGCTATTTACTTTGTATTTTAAATTTTATTTTCTTAAAATATGAGAGAAGTCTCCATGAATGAAAATAAGTACAAAGCATTAAAATTCACACTCCATGTTCAAAGCAGTATTCTGCCTACTTTATATGACATTGCTCTTAAAACAAAGTTCCAGGCACATTTAACAGTAACAATTTAGAATAAAAAAGATACTAGCCTTTCTAAGGCAGGAATTAAATATTTTAATATTTTGTTGTGATGAGTATTTAGAAGTTGGCACACATAACCACCTGGTGTGAGAAGTGGATTGTTTTTATTGTTATTTATTTTCCTATAAATTTTCTAGGTTCTAAATGCAGACTAATTCATTTTGTAGAGAAATTAAATTTATTTGTAAGGTACCTTGGAAATGAAGAGTGTGCCTTCTCCTCCGTGCCAATAGAATATTCTCATTTTCTTACGGCACGACAATTACATTTATATCTATTGAGGAATACTGGGGCTCTGGCTCTTTGTGTGTTTGCAGTTCATAAACGTTAATCCTGACGGATTCCAGGGACCTCTGAAGGTTCGCAGGATAGGAACAAGTTTTGTAAGAAAATTTAAAAGCAGTTATTTCCCCTCCATCATACTGTCAAGAATTTAAAAACTTTGACGTATCATATACCAATATTGACAATAGTAACTAAACATTTGAAAGGCGAATATCTAATAGAACATGGATGCGTTTATGTTCAATTTGCCTTATGTTTTCTTCTACCTATCTATAATCTGTAGTGACGACCCCAAAGGTCTTCACATGGGAGAGAAACCAGTAAAAGTTTTGAGGGCTAGTGAGAAGGCTCAGCAGCTAAGGTGCTTGCTATCAAGCCGGGGGACCTGCGTTCCATACCTCGACCCTAGACGGTAGTCGCTCAGAACTGACTCCTGTAAGTTGTCCTTTGACCTCCACGTGCATCCTGAGACATGCGTGCACCCCCACACTTACAAAGATAGAGTTGTACACACACAGAGAAACAAATATATGAGTAAGTGTACACATGGGCTCACCTGAATTTATCCCTCACACACATATAAAACAAATACATAACTGGAAAAAGAAAGAGTAAAAGAGAGAGAGAAAGGAAAGAAATGGGGAAAAGGGGATTTTGAACATAACATTTTCCCCAAGAAAGCACTGAAGAGTGGGCTATTTGTATAGGTCGGTTTCTTCGGAAAGAGCTCTGAATACTGAACTCTGTGATGTCGAAAGAAAAGAAAAACCCACAATTCCTATGTAGACCAATATTTAAATAAATGTTTTCTAGACAAATGTGGATGACATCTCAGGAAAATTTAAATATGAAACTTTAAAACCCATTTCACAATAATCAGACTACTTTCCAACAATAATAGAGAACAAATGATATTCGTGTATTCTCACCAACATTAATCACCGCTTATGGATGGCAAAATAGAAAAAAAAGCTTAACTTCAGAGACAATTAGCCAAAGAAAACCTATGCTTTCCTTCCTTCCTTCCTTCCTTCCTTCCTTCCTTCCTTCCTTCCTTCCTTCCTTCCTTCCTTCCTTCCTTTCTTTCTTTCTTTCTTTCTTTCTCTTTAAAGAAAATACCACATCAAGCACAATCTAATAAAGTGCCGCAGATAAGCCACTGTTCCTACCATTGTCAGCCTCGTTTTACAGTGATTTCTAACTTGTTTTTAAGAATGGGAACACCAATTCATTTTTTCAATTTTCTTTTTACTAAAAATAAGCTGTAGAACATAAGACCCCCCCCTCCCTAAATTGTGACTGTTACCTTGAGGATGGAAAGCATGGATTTCTTTCCCCGACAGTGCCATCAATAACTACGAGGCACTGGCTAAGCAAGGGACAATTTATCACTTCCATGTTTGGGACACCGAAGAACCTCTGCACAGGCCTCCAACAGTGGAAAATAAGATGACTCCCATGGAGCAAGTGGCCTGCGGCTACCTTCTTTGTACTTTACAGCGTACAGGTTAATCTTAAATCTTATGAGTTGCTCTAAACCACCGAGTTTGTGCTTTATTATGAAGATAAAGATTAACATGGGTCTTGGCTTCAGAAAGTATACCTACCTTAGAGAAACCACCTTTTCAGGTTTAATCTTTCTATAAAACGAGGTGGATGAGAGCATCCTTTGTTGCGTGTCTAGATGTTCATGCATCTGGAAAACAGTAATGTAGGCCATCTATCTGAAGACAGCCCATGGTGTCACCTTAGGTGGCACTTCCATAAGATTTTGGAACATACATGAGAGAGGCCCTATGGAATCTGGTTGTTGTAGTTTACTAAATAAATGGGTCAGATCACATTAGACAATAACTTCGAGGCAGTTTTTTTTTAAGTTTGTACAACTGTCCATTTGAGGATTTTTCTGCATACATATTTTGAAGATTGCAACCCCTCCTATGTTGTAACTCTTTCAGTGAGAAAGCCATTATTTTGCTAGACAATCTGAAGTACCAAAATATTCCATATGGCTGGCTGGAATCTGCCATCTCATCACGTTCAGCCTTTTGTTTTTCAGGACATGGGATCCACAGGAAGTATCTATTACATCTACCTTGAATTACTGTTTTAAACATGTTCAGATAGTCACGCCACTCTTAAATCTCTTCAAGAACAAATTTCTTGCAGCAGTTGTCTCGAGCATTCTACGTTACACACATGCTCCGCAACTTACAATAGGGTTGCACATCACTGAATACGCTGCATGTTGAAAATGCAAGTCAGCAATGCATTTAACACACCAGCTTCCCAGCCATAATAACTCAGCCACACCACATACAGTAGAGTATTAGCAGCTTCCCCTATTCACTCTGTGATTGACAGGGAACTCCCTGCTGCCCCCAAGCAGTATGAGAAATTCTCATAGCATAATTACTTGCCTAGAAAAAGATCAAAATTCAAACTATAGTTTTTACTAGGTGTGCATTTCTTTGGCTTTATCAGAAAGAAAAAAAAAACACCTAAGTCAGAGAGTCTTGTATTTTGAGTATTCACCATTCTTTATACATATTAATTCCAGTTCCTCCTCCCCCCCTCTTCCCACTCCCCACACCTTCTTCTCACCCTCTCCCCCATCTGCTCCTCAGAGAAGGTAAGGCCTCCCATGAGGAGTCAACGAATTCTGTCACACCACCACGTTGAGGCGGGACCAATGCCCTTCCTTTATGTCTAGGCTGTGCAAGGTTTCTCTTCATAAGAAATAGTCTCCAAAAGGAGAGGTCATTTATTAAAGATAGCTCCGGGTCCCACTCCTGGGTCCAGTGGACCCACAAACTTCCCAAGTCACCTACTGTTGCCTGCTTTTTAGGGGGCCTAGATCAGTCATATGCTGATTCCCTGGCTTTCAGTCTGGAATCAGTGAACAGCCACTGGTTCCGGTCAGCTGTTCTGTGGGTTTCCCTATCATGGTCTTGACCCCTTTGTTCATGTTATTGCTCTTCCCTCTCTTGGACAGGACCCCGGGAGCTCTGTTCAGTGGTTAGTTGCACAACTAACCTCTCTGCATCTGCATCTCGGCATCTGCCTCCATCAGTAAATGGGTGAAGGTTTTAGGAGATCCTGTCTATTTCCCCTTCCTAGGCAGATCCATGTATGTCTCTCTTAGGGTCCTCTTTGTCACCTAGTTTCTCTGCTGTTGTAGACTGTAGGTTGCTCATCCATTGCCTTATGTCTAGTATTCACTTGTGAGTGAGAACCTATCGTGTTTGTCTTTCTGGGTTTGGGCTACCGGATGGTTTTCTCCCCCTGAGTATTCACCATTTTGATAGTCCCTTGGCTCCTTCAATGTCTTAGACAGTCTCTTTCAGAGTGTGAGAATTCAAGTATACACAACATCTCATATTGTATATGTTGAGAACGGAATATGGAAAGTCTTCAACTGACGCAGGGAAAACACACTGAACGTTTTTAAACAGTTATGTCATACCCCAGCCGCATACTGAGAGCGCAGGTCATTGTATTAGTTACCTATTGCTGCATAGCAAATTACCCTCACACTTGGGAGTAAAAAAAACGACAACAAACATTTATTATCTTAGATGGTTTCTATGGCTTAGGAATTTGGACCCAGCTTAGCTGAGTGAGTCTGGGTCACTGTCACTCTCGTGAAATTAAAGTTAAACTCTTCAGCTGCAGCATCCTCTTCCAAGAAAGAGCAGTTGTGAGGATGAAGACTTCCTCCTAGGATAGCTTACTCACGTGACCGTCTAATTAATTAAATTAGTCAATCAATCAATCAATTAATTAAGTTCATTAATTAAATTAAATTAATTAAAACTCTAGTTTTGTTCCTTACCACACAGACTGCATAGCACTGGTTGAGGGTCCTCGTGGCATGGTCTGATGGCTGGCTTTTCTCAGAGTAGGTGGTCCAACAGAGAATAAGCAAGAAGCCACAGTATCTTCCCTGTGTTAGCGTCGGAAGCCACACACTGTCTTTTCCCTTTCCTATACCGTGGACGGTACAGGTTTATCAACTATGGGAGGAGACAGAGAGGAGCACGAGGAGAGAGAATTATGCGGGGAACATCTTGCTCATTAACATGAGTTCATCTTACACCCCCTGCTGACTATCCTCTCCAGCCACCATCACCCGTGAGGGAAAAATCCTTACATCTGTCTTCCCGTGGCTCTCAACAGCCTCGTCCCATAGCAACAGCATCCCAAAGTCTAGAATCTTGCATGCCAATCAAGTCTACATATAGATGAAGCTTTTTCAGTGTGGCTTAAATCGAGGTGCCCCCCCACCACATATATACCACACAACAATGGGGCAGAATTGCAATAACCACCATATATATGGCCATTCAAAGCATAGTGTGAGTGCGGGGCATGCCAGAATCACTGGTTCATAGAGATGCTGGAATCTGGCTGGGCAAATATTCGAAGTTCTTCATGCCTGCTCATTCCTACTTCCTGTGGATGGCTGTCCATCTGTGACTCTTGGCTCTTCACACATTTGCTTCCACTTTGGAGGGTACTTCTTTTTGGTGATGTGCAGTTTGTTTTTCTAAGTCTGGTTCCTGCCTACAGAAAACTGACAGTCTAGAAGCTCTCCTTTTCATTCCATCTCTGTTCTTTCCCATATAACCTGTTGACATTCCTGACAACTGTGTGCTCATGAAAACAAATTGGTACCCTGTGAGCTTTACTAGGACTGCTTCCATTTACACACACACACACACACACACACACACACACACACACACACAGAGTCTTTCAACATTATTTCTTCTCTACTTAGAGATCCTGCTGAAATCACTGAACCAATGACATGCACACCACATTTGACTCAGTCATTCTCTGAAGCACTACTTTGGACCTTCCTAAGGTTTTAACAGAGTATTTCACAATCCTGTCCTCAGCTTCATTTTCAGGCCAAGACTGTCTGGCAGCCCTGCCTTGGATCTTGGTCTAGAAGCCACTTCTTTGTTTTGGCATTGTTTTCCATCTTGGAAAGCCTGGTCATTTTGAAAGTCAGAAGTTCTTGAGTTCTCTTGGTTTGACAATTCTTCCATTCATTTGTCTTTGTCTCCTCACATTTCTCTGTGAACTGCAAAGTAAACCAAGGAACATTGTCAAAGCTCTATTTGGAAATCTGCTATCCAAACAACCCAGTTTTTTCTCTTTTTCCTTTTTCTTCTTACAGTGCCGGGGTTGGAACTCAGGACCTTATGTGGGTATGGGGGCAGGGTGCAAATTCTCTACCTCTGAGGTCTTCTCCCAGTCCTGCCCTGTCTTTTGGTTTGTTTATTTTTTTTTTTATTTACTTTTGTCATCATGCTGTTTGGCACCACCCCACTTCCAGATAGATTAGTTAACTAATAATACAGAGCAAATTATCAAACTCTTCGAGTTGCTATCTCAGTTTCTGTGAGTCATGAACCGGAGAACAGCTTATCCAAGTGGTTTAGCTTCAGGGTCTTTTATGAGGTTGGATTGATACTGACTCTCCTTGTAACCATCTGTAGTGGCTGTAGTGTCTGCTTCCCAGACACTTCCCCACGTGGCTGGTAAGCTCTTGCTAGGCAGTCTTAGTTCTTTAATCTTATGGACTTCTTCATAGGACTGTCAGAGTGACCTCATGATATGGCAGCTACTTCTCGCCCCGTTGTCACAGAGCTATTCACAGGAAAGCTAAGCAAAACTTGCATGTTTCTCATCTCTTAGTCTAGGCAGTGGCATTAAATCATTTCTTCAATATCACTTTTTCAGTTAACTTGTTAGGAATTGAACTGAGGACTTTGTGCATGCTAAACATCTGTTCTACAGTAAATTCATGCCTCTGCCACCCTTAATGTCTTCTAGGTATGCAATCAACTCTTAATCATTGTGGAAAAGGCTGCAGAAGAATGTCAATCATAGGATTCAGGAATCATTGGCACTACAATAGACGTTAGTGGTCATGCTCAGCAAAATCAATGATAATTTAATATTTAGGTGCTTCTATCAATCCAGCTTTACCTCTTTAGGTACTTAATGATTTTTACTGTTTAAATTTGCCCTTATTTATCACTTAATTCTTTTTACTCTGTGTAATTCTGTGGACTGAATCCAAGTCCTCACGCATGTTACACAGGCACCCAACCACTGACACCTTTCACGGCTGTCAATCACTAAAGCTTGATCAAATTCAGTTTTATATCCCACACAATTTTTTTTGAATCGTGTCTCTGTTACATAAACAACATTTTTGAACTTTGAATGACTGATTAGTACGGTAAATAGTGGAGTTTATTTATTTCTTATTGTATTTGTAGGGTATGTGTGTACAGGCACACGTGTAGAAGTCAGAGAACAATTTGCAGGAGTGAACCTGCATTTTAATATGTCACGTATGACATAGGTCCAACTTCTTTCAGAATTCTAGCATGTTTTTCAAAGACTGGATTAGGCTGACAAAGCCCTCAACAAGTAAGCATTGAAGATTATGAGTGTAGATTTCTAATTAGGAATCTATAAACATATGATTGAATTGCTAGAGTTATATATACAGCAAGTACTCATCTCTGGCAAAATTGTAAGGCAGGATAAATTCATCACCTTGGCTCACTATACTTCTTAAGAGCCGAGGCGGTGCTTTGGTTGCTATTCTTGTTGCCCCACCCCCCTTTGAATTTTGCTTTATGACTGACATACCATAGATTTTAACTTTTTCTCCCCCGCTGCTGGGATTGAACCTGGGAACTTCAGGTTCCTAGCAATGGGCTAGGCAATTGCTCCACCATGAAACTATAGCTATTGTCCAATGGATGCTTCTTAAGTGCTAAGTTGGCTACTAAACTGTTTTTAGGTATAAAATCCCTCTGTTGGTACCCAATTTCTCCTATCACTAGGGACACTCCCTAGCCAAAGCCTGCCCCCAGTGTTCTAACCTGGTTGTCTTCTAAAACCCCAGTCTGGGGCTGGAGGGATGGCTCAGTGCTTAAGAACACTTACTGCTCTTTTATACTTCCCCAGTTAGATTCCCTCAACCATTACAGCTATAATGCTAGTTCCAGGGGATCCTATGCCTATGCCTCTGTGGGCCATAAACCTGATATACATAAACTTATGCAGGCACACACAAACACATACACATAAAAATAATAAATATTATCCGGTGGTAGTGTCACATGCCTTTCATCCCAGCACTTGGAAGGTAGAGGCAGATGGTCTGAGTTTGAGGTCAGCCTGGTCTACAGAGTGAGTTCTAAGACAGCCAAGGCTACACAGAGAAACCCTGTCTCAAAAAAGCAAATCAAATAATAATAGTAAATATTTTAAATGAAAAACTCTATTCAGTTAAATGTTATCTATTTTTTTTCTTATTTTCTACCGTGAGCCCAGCTTAAATTACTTAGCTTACCTCTCACAGCAGGGTCCCCCGGCCACACACCCTCACCACATAAGAACACAAAATCAACATTCATCCAGCTGCTGAGAAACCTCAGTCCCAGCTCCTTCCCAACTCCGGGATGACCTGCCAGTGGTGCTTTGATTTCGGTGTCTGCCGCATCCTAGCCACAGTTTAGCTTTCCAAACGTATCTTCCACTTCTTCCCCATACCGTATTATTTTTGGTTCACCAAATTCATCCCACACACCCTCAAGTCTCAATTTCACATTTTCCTCCTCTGCCCCAAATGTTCTTCCTCCACTTTCATTAAAATTCTACCAACTTTTTTTTCTTCTTTCTTTCTTCCTTTTTTTTTTTTTTTTTTTTTGAGACGGTTTCTCAGTGTAACCTTGGTTGTCCTGGAACTCTTTCTGTAGACCAGGCTGGCCTTCAATTCACCGAGATCCATCTGCCTCTGCCTCCCGAGTGCTGGGATTAAAAGCGAGCACCACCACTGCCCTGCCTATATCCAACTTTTAATGGGAAAGTCAGAAGGACTTGAAAACCTAATCTTCTCTGCTACAAGTGTTTGCTTTTGGCCCCTCGAAAGTTCGTGGTATTATGTACCACATTGTAACTGAGATTTAGTCATTTGACAGCGTGATTTCTCTTGTGTATTTTAAGTTTCTTAGGACTTGGGTAGCAACAATCCATGTGCAGCAGTTAGCACATCTGCCTTACATGGAGGTTCTTTGTGAGTTATGGAATGGACCTAAGCAGGCCTTGCCTGTTAGTTTGGGTGGTGGGTAGTAGTGGGGTGTTTTGTGTGTGGTTAAAAGAAATGTCTTTGGAGTCCAAACAATCCCAGAGTTAATTAAACTGGATGATCTTGGATAGATCAAATCTTTTGCCACCTCGGGTTCTTTACTGGCTAAATTAGAATGGTGTGCTTTATCTCATACCCTGTTATCATAATTAAATACTACACCCTCTCTAAGGTACTTCTGTACCAGCTGTCCTGCCACAGGCCAGTTATCCCAGCACTCAGGAAAAGGAGGTAGGAGAATTGAGATACTCTTTATCAAAATAAATAAAACTAAGAAGTAATTATTATCTTCCTTTCCTCTCTTATGCCTAGCAGACTCTTGTAAGCGCTTTCAGAATATTTTGATAAAGTAACAATTAAAAATAAAATTAATGTTGCCAGGCATGGTGGCACAGGCCTCTAATCCCAGCATTTAACAGGCAGAGGGAAGCAGGTCTCCAAGTTTGAGGTTGAATGGTCTACAAAGTGAGCTGCAGGGCAGCCAGGGCTACACAGAGAAACCCTGTCTCAAAAAACAAGCAAATTAAGAAATTTATAAAATAAAATCAATCATTTAAAAATAAGGGCAAATGAAGAATGCAGAACAACTAAGAAAAATGTTGGAACTATATGGAAAAGGATAAAGATGATAATCAAGATTTTTTAAAATTTATGTTTTAGTTTATTTTTATGTGTATGAATGCTTTGCCTCCAGGTATATGTGTACCATCACTCCTGGTACCTTCAGAGGTCAGAAGGGGGCATCAGATCTTCTGAAACTGGACTTACAGATGGTCGTGAGCTGTCTGTGGGTGCTGGGAACCAAATCCAGGCAGTCTGCAAAAGCAACAACTGCTCTCAACCGCTGAGTCCAAGCCCCGGGATTTTTTTTTTTAAGTAAGCGTGAAGAAATTTAATCTTTCTTGTTAGTTTGTTTTTAAAACTGTGTTTCATGGTCCATGCCTGTAATCCTGCAGGAGGAGTGGGAATTTAAGACCAGGGGCTGTGGCTTAGTGAGTTCAAGGTTAAATATGAGACCCTGTTTCATGAAACCAAAAATAGGCACAGAATGCATCGGGGAAGATTGGAGAAGCAATTGCAGGAATCTCTTCTTTCCTTCTACCAGGTAGGTCCCTGGACTCACACTTGGGTTGTCAGGCTTGATCCCAAGCACCTTTACCCTCTGAGCCATCTTGCTACCCCCAGCTTCTAATTTCTTCTATAAATTTGTAGCATAGTCTTAACTACAGAATAGGACGAGAATTCCTTCCAGTTTTCATACGGGAAACATTCAATTACCTGCTATTATTTCAAAGACTTTGCATCTTCAATTACAAATAAAGATGTTTCAATACTTCAGTTTACAAAAAGTCTAGGCAGACCTAGAACTCAGCCACGGGACAAGGGCTGAGGTGGACCACCCACATCGAGAGTGAGTTGCTAGTCTTCCTCCTGGTCCACGTTGGTATTTTCTCTAAGGAGCAATCTAAATGGTAGTAACTTCGAGAAGGCTCAGGGAGAAAGACACCTGAGAAGTTGCTGGACAAACGCCATTTGTTTGTTTCAAGGCTATAACCATGAAAGCTGAAATTAATACCTTCAACATGGCTGCGCTTCTAAGCGTAGGGCTATGTGTGTAGGTTTGAAGTGCCTTGTATCAGCCTGCTTCTTGGGAGGAGGAGAACGTCCCATGAGGAAAGCTAGAATTTCAGGGCACGTCACGCTATTTAGTTATAGTTAATTGAGAGTTTGGGTTTTTTTTTTTTTTTTTAAATAACCTTTCCCCAAAATGTCTTTGGAACCAAGTCCCCCAAGCTGCAGCCCTGCATAGCATTGGCATTTAAGATCATGTTTCAGGTTCCTTGGGATAATCTTTTCCTTAAACTCCATAAAAGACACTTAAGCAGTGGGCCAAACTCAGATAAGGTGTGGAAAGGTACAGGGGACCTTCACCCCCGATTTTCCAGTTGTGAAAAAGATAATATTCAGTTTGTTTCATTTCAAAGATATTATCTTATCTGTAATTAGATACAGTTTGAAAATCTAGTGTCTTGAACTAATGCAGAGCAGACGTTTTTGGAAGTGCGGGAAACATAATAGACTTTCAATAAGTGTGACATCAGAGACAGAAAAAAATCACAAGAGCAAACAAAAATCTTAACAGGTGTGTGTGTAGTGTGTGTGTGTGTGTGTGTGTGTGTGTGTGTGGGGCCTCTAAATTCAGAGCTCCTTCCTTGGGAAATATGTAAAAAAGCTGCCAGACCTCTGGGGCTCGTCCATCTTGTGCTGTATTAGCCAAGTCAAATAATTTTGCAGATTATTTGTGCCAAAATTTTCTGTCCCAAGCATTGAAAGCTGTTGTGCAGTATAAATCCTGTGTGTGGTCATCATATACAGCCTACCTTTCAATAGTAGAGTAGACTCCTTCTCCAAGAATTTGATCTTGGGAGATTTCCCTACTTATAGCTTTATTCCACTGTGTGTGTGTGTGTCTGTGTGTCTGTGTATATATGTGTGTATATAACATGATCCTCTTTCACCCCCTTAATATTGCCCAGGCCGTATTAGCTGAGGGCCACTAGAAGATATTTTTACTTACCATTGAACATCTGAGGACCCCAACAGGTTATGTCCAATTTTGATTTCAAAAGTGTCATCTTCTCTCTAAGAGAGAACCTATGAATATGGGGAAGGGCTGTGTCTACTGAAACAGGAACTCTATGGCTCAAAGTGGCAGAGACATATCATGTCCTACCTCAGGCAAATATATATGGATCTAAATAGCAGGATCTCAGGAAGGGCACAACTTTAAAGGGACTGCACACATCCTATCAAGAGTGCCCCTGCCCAATGCCCTCTCTTCCTCGGTCTTTCATGTATGTTTCTCTCGAAGTCATCTCTGTCTTACAAGATCCTTCAGTCCTCTGCTCTTCAGGAACGCAGACTTTGAAAACTCATCTCTTCAACATGAACTGCTTCTCTTTTTAAAAGTTCCATTTCAGAATTTCCGAGGAAGGTACAGGGGCCAGTGAGGTCACTTGCCTAGTCTTGGGAGTTACTCTAATCAGCAGACTTCAGTAGACCAATACGATTAGAATAAAGAGAATGACAGCTTTATCCCAGAGGAAGATACCTATCTACAGAAAAATGAATGACACTGGGGAAAGTAAGTATGTTACAATTCTAATTTTAAAAGTCAGAAATAATCTGGGGTGGTGAGGCGCTCCAATAGCCCCACCTACTCAACTGCGGCATTTGTTCAGCCCCTTCTTTCACAATGTCCTCTGAACCTTGGAGGCCATGAGAATTGCTTGAGCTTAAGAGCAGAAAGCCAATCTGGGTACCGTAAGAGATAGTCTTATCAACTATCAAATAATGACACCTTTTAAAAGTTTGTTTTTTTTTAAATAAAATGTCATGGCATTCTGCCTCCTGTCATTAATTTCAGATTTCTTTTGTCTTAGGCACTCTTCTTGCACAATATTACTATGTCACCATGTCCCATCTCTTCCTCATTTCAACTCTGCTTGTGATGGGTGGGAGAGCTGACCCTGTGATCATAAGAGCAGGAGAGCTGTCCCTACCCATCACCAGATGCAGCACTCGGGAGAGCAGGCCCTGCACCTCACCTAGGCAACAGAGTAGAGCTGGCCCTAGTGGGAGTGCAGACCCGAAGGAAAGAAAGCAGGAAAACTGGCCCTGCCTCTTGCTAATCACAGCAAGGGGTGAACTAGCTAGGGCAATGCTGGAGAGTTCAACAGGGTGGAGATCTGTTGGGTTGATCAACCAGGCAACTACCCAGACACAGAACCAGGACTATGACTTGGCCCACCCCAACATCTACCCTATCTGAGCTGCAGGATCATGTGAAAGGGCCAATCTGCAGACCCGAAGCTTCATGATCTCCGCAATCCAGGGCAACATCGAGATACCTAAGAGGAGTCCCAGTGAGGGCCCAGCAGCGATAGTGTAGCAGAAACCAGAGGCCTTGAACCAGACCAATGACTCTTTGCAATGAGCACTTGCAAGTAAAGATATGTGGACAAAGGGGTTTACTGTGTGACTCACTGTGTCACACTACAGCTTCCATGATGAGATTTTTTTCCTTGTTTTTCTTTTTTCTTTCTCGTTCTTAAATTTTATTTAATTTTGGAGGAGCAGTTGTAAGGGCAGAGGGTGTACACAAAAGGAACAGGGAGATGAATGGGATCGAGATGCATAATGTGAAAGACACAAAGAATAAATAAAAAGAAAGTTAATTAAAAGAAGAAAAACAACTTCTCTGACCTAAGCTGAAATTGGTACTAATCTATGTGCATAAACATAAGTATTCAACGAGTAATTTGATTAACATATTATGTCCATTTAGCAAAACAACAGCAATGAATTTGTTGATAGGACCTCTGACCTCTCCAGCTTTAGGCTTTTTACAAATTTTACAGGGCCAAACATGAATTCTTTCCTGCAGGCCTTAAATCCAGTGAGGACGCACTTGCTTATTCTCATTTCCTTCATCCAGTGTTTTATAGTCAGGAATCTTGGAGTTGGGTTCCCTGGGACTCTGAGGTGAGGAGAGTCAAGTTGTTGACTACAGCAGCATGTATTTAAAGAGCTGCAGACTCTGGTCCCAAGCTCAATCACATAGTTTGCTGCATGAATTTTTCTGAAGAGACAAATATCTACTAACTCAGACAGGACACTAACAACACAAATTACAGGTCAAAATAAACTATTCCCCTCCAGTCTAGTTTGGTGAATCACTGAGCTTCTTGGGAGTTGCTAGCAAGAAAATGGGCAACAGGCTGCTTGGGTGAAGGGTTACCCATAACAGTGCATGCCTGTGCACTGTAGTTTTGATATCCTGAACATCATAGAAAATGTGTAATCTAAATATGTGAGAGTAGTGGAAAATCCCAAGGGAGATATTCTAAATTTAATCATCCAAATTATACTCTTTGAACACTCATATTTTGCTTTGATATGATCATATTTGTTAACTTGGCACAATCTAGAATCACCTGGGAAGGGACTTCGATGAGAGGTTCTCTAGATCGGGCTGGTCTGCTGGCATGTCTGTGGGGGATTATCTTGATCCCGCTAACTGAGATGTGAAGACCCATCCATTATGGGTGTCACCATTCGCTAGTCAGGAGATTCTGAGCTGTATAAGAATGAGGAAAGAGAGATGAGTGTAAGAATGCATGCATACATTCATTGGTCCCTGCTCTTGACTGTGAAAGTAAAAATGTGATCAGTTCTCTCAAGCCCCCACCACTGTGTCTTCTCTACTATGATGATCTGTAAACGGGAAAATTGTGAACTATAATAAATCCTTTCTCTTCTAACTTGCTTTTGTCATAGCAGCAAGATGTGGAACTAGAACACCATGAAAGCACAAAGGAGGGGTAGTCTGACACAACTTACTGCCAGGGTGTTAGGGGGGCTTTTTCCAGAGTAGGGATGTGCAAGCTAAAGTCTTCAGATAGCCTTAAGAATGGACAGTGCAGATGGAAAAGGAGGATTAAGAAAGCAGGATAGGGGTAATATACAAATGCAGTGGAAAAATAACTTGATCATATACCATATTTCTGATTGTTATGCATTTGTGCATGTATAGACAATTATATATTTGCATAGATAGATGATGATGATGAAGACAGACAGACAGACAGACAGACAGATAGATAGATAGACTGATGGATAGATACATAGATAGACTGATGGATAGATACATAGATTGACTGATGGATAGATACATAGACTGACTGATGGATAGATAGATAGACTAATTAATGGAGAGATAGATACAGTCTTCTTACTGATGGCAGGGAGAGTGTACTGATTTTTCCATTATACCTAAAATATCACATGTTCAAATATCATGAGATGTCAGCTTTTCCACATCTGCTCTGTGTATTTCTTTACCCTAAGAAATGTGTGTTGAGGGGCTGAAGAGATGGTTCAGAGGTTAAGCGCACTTGCTGCTCTTCAGAAAACCCATGTTCAATTGCTAGCACCCACATGGCAGTTCACAGATGTCTATAGCTCCAGTTCTAAGGGATAAGACACCATCATGTAGATGGACATGCAAGCAAAATGCATGTCCAAAACGCCAATGCACATAAGAAAATTGAAAAAAGAAAAAAAGAGAAAGAAATGTGTGTTAAAATACACAAGAGAAAGTAAAACTTAATCTTTGGCTCAGTCACTATAATTATCAGTTTTTCCAGCATCTCAGAAGACAGGTAGGTGCTATTGTGTTCATATCGCTTTTAACATCATTTTTATTTTACTTTATAAGTGGTATTTTCCAATCATGTCATCAAAAGGTAATAGCGAAGAACAGTAATAATTTCAGGGCAGTGAGATTGTTTAGTGCCTGGGATAGACTCTTCCTCACTGTGACAAATACTGAGGGAGATAGTTTAAAGAGGAAATATGTATATTAGCTCATGGTTTCAAAGGACAACTGGTTGTAGTGTTAGGCAGTGTTTGATCAGCATGGGAGTGGGGTCATATGGCAGAAGCTGCTTACTTCATGGCAATCAGGAAGCAGTAGGGGAGGGAGGGAGGGAGGGAGGGAGGGAGAGAGAGAGAGAGAGAGAGAGAGAGAGAGAGAGAGAACACACTTACAACTGTTTCTTTCTTCCTATCCCTTTTATTTCATCTGGGTCTTTAATGCATTGAGTGGCTCCATCTATAGGCAGGATAGGTCTCTCCCTCTAGTTAATCATCTTGGAAAACACCTCTTGTTTAGAGTGTACTGGGAATCTCTGAGTTCAATCATGCTGTCAATCAACAAGTTCTATTCCAGTCTTGAATCTACCATTGATTAACTGAGCAATCTGAGGCAAACTAGTCTTCAACATCAAGAACTAGTCTTCAAGAGTATCCACCAGACCCCCCCCAAAAAAAAATGATAGTACCTACTTTACAAGACCACATTCTTTTTTTCTGTTTCTCTAATGACTCTTTTCTTGGTTTTTGACTCTGGCCAGTGAGTCCTCTCTTAGAGTGGGTCCTGTAAGAAACATCATAACCAAAATAGATTCATTATGAGAAATGATGGACTTCATTGTAATTCTTTATAACTCCAGACCTCACCATTTACTTGTTTGTTTATATGTGTATTTTTGTTTATGTATTTAATGAAAACATGATTTTTTTTCTGGCAATAATCATGAGTTATCAAAGCTTCATAGATATTTCATCAAAGTTCCTGTGTTTCTGGTGAGATGAGTTGCTGTTCGTGGTAAGTTCTGGAACCAGTGCAGGGACCAGTGCCACCAGTAAGAGAATAAAAAGAAATGTGAGGCTGCAGGGCATGGTGGTGCACTCCTTTATCTCACGAAGGAGTCAGTTGTTCTATATGGAAAGTTCTAGAACAACCAGTGTTACATAGAGAGACCATATATTACACAAACAGCAACAACCAAGAGTCTTATAACACATAATACATATTTGTAGTAAAATATCTTTGTTGTTCTTTTCCTTTGCCAGTATTTTTAACCACACAGATTTTCTTGTCTCTAATCATAAAAATGAAAAATCAAGGTCTGGAAACACAGCTTAATGAAAGAGCACTTGTCTAACATATAAAAGGAACAAAGGTTTGGGGACTGGGGAGGTGGCTCAGTGGTTAAGAGCACTGGCTGCTCTTCCAGAGGTTCTGAATTCAACTCCCATCATCCACATGGTGGCTCACAACCATCTGTAATGGGATCTGATTCCCCCTTGCGGTGTGCATGGAGACTTACATTAAATAAATAAATAAATCTTTTAAAAAGGAAATCAATGTTCATTCAAAACACCAAAGAAAAGAGGAAGAAAAAAATGGATAGACCAATTGCGTTGATAGAATTGTCTTTATACTCTTGAGAATCATCATATATGTTCATACTATTATAAACAGAAAAATCATTTAAAGAGTGAAATAGTTTCAGAGATTGGACCATTATGACCCTCTGGCTAGACAAGCTGGGAACATCTGCTTTGTCTGTTCCTCACTTATACCCACACAGTCTGGGTTTCTATTTCTTCCACTCCAGCACCTCCTCTTCCTCATTTTGAGGTATGGTCTCATTTTTATAGCCCAAACTGTGTTTGAATTTGCAGCATCTCTCCTGCCTCAGCTTCCTAAGGCCTGCGATTACCAACACAAACCGCCCCCCATGATCAGCCATAATTTCTTTCTCTACCTACTTACTATATCTATTTCCCAAGCTAAATTTTCTAGAAACATGCTTATAGATACAGTCAATATGCCAGCATTTGTCTGTCATCTTAAGAACCTAGACTATGCCTCAACATCTTAGAAACACTCTGACATCATGAAGATGATGAAAAGATTTAGAAGAAACTTCTACAGGATACTTTTACATGTCTGGTTTGTTGAGAAAAGGCTTAAAAATTAATTAGAATTAATCTGAGATTTAATTCATGCCAACCAAATAGATCTTAATGTCTTTGATGTTTTATTTCTGTGCACAAAGGTTTTAATTATACCATTTGATCAATAGGTATTTATTGAACATCTACTATCATGTCAAGTGTTGTGCCAACAAGAAGCTAAAAAAAATGACCTCCAAAAATCTTAGCTCACAATACAATACCCTATTTAGGAACTACCAAAGGAGTTATTCCAGCAAAAGGTAGTCTTGAGGTATGAGAGCAGTAACTGTCTAGAAACTAGGCTGAGCAAATAGACAGTGGGACTGATTTAAAATACATCAACTGAGACTTTGGAAGGAATTAGAAATGCAGAGAAGAGGTCAAAGGAAATGGGAATATAACAGCTCAGGAATGGAGAAAGATATCTTCCAACCAAGTTCTCGTCTAAAAGAGTTAGGCATGAAAGCAAAAGGGTTTTCCAATCACAAAAGGAAGGAAAATTCAATAAGCACACACTCCTGCAAACCAAGGGCCTTCATACAAGAAGACGGAGAGAGGAACTGATGAGCATATCAGCTCAACAAAGGTCTGTGTGTGTTTTCCGGGAAGACAGCTTACAAGTCCACTAGCGGTAGGTAGTTTCCAGGGAGGAAACTTCCAAGGTAAGACAGTAAGCTTGGGTTGGGACACTGGCTTAGTCAGCTGAACGCTCTCCTTGCCAGCAGGAGAACCTGAGTTGCATGGCCAGAGCCAGAGTAAAATGCCAAGTGTGGTGGTCCAGGATTGTAATCCTGAGGAGGTGAAGGCAGGTGGTACCTGGGGCTCTCTAGCTGGCCAGCCTAACTTAAAGGAGTTCCAAGCTAACGGAAGACCGTCTCTGAAACAAGTTAGGCAGATGGAAAGATGACTTAGTGGTTAAGAGCAAATGCTGCTCTTGCAGAGGACCTGTGTTGAAATCCCAGATCCCAGGCTGGGTAGCTCACAACTGCCTCTAACTGAAGATCTGTAGGGTCCAACCCTCTCCTGGCTTCTGGAGGCATCTGTATACATGTGCACACACACATGCAGATATTTACGTAAAATAAAATAATAAAGCATTAACGTGAAATAAGTTGGGTTAGGACAGAGGGATGGCTGAACAGTAAGTCGCTTCAGGCCTCACGATGAAGCCTGGCAACCCGAGTTTCATTTCTGGAACTCACCAGAAGGTAGAGAGAGAAAAAGGAGAGAACTGGTCCCAAAAAATTGTCCTTTGACCTCCACATACATGTCAAGACATGCATGGGGGGCTGGAGAGATGGCTCAGAGGTTAAGAGCATTGCCTGCTCTTCCAAAGGTCCTGAGTTCAATTCCCAGCAACCACATGGTGGCTCTCAACCATCTGTAATGGGGTCTGGTGCCCTCTTCTGGCCTGCAGGCATACACACAGACAGAATATTGTATACATAATAAATAAATAAATAAACAAATGAAAAAAAGACATGCATGGCTGCAGACACGCTAACGATAATTTTTTTTTATTAAGTTGGGCTGGACAGGAGTGGCCCAGGGCTTTAATGCTAACACTTGGGGAGCAGAGACAGGTGGATCTCTGTGCATTTGAGGCTAGTATGATCTACAGAGCTAGTTCCAGGACAGCCAGGACTACCAGAGAAAAGTTGTCTCAATAAATAAATAAATAAACAGACAAACAAACAAATAAATAAAAAGTTGGGTAGTATTCCTAAATAGTATATCTGAAGCTATCCTCGGGCCTCCAAACACATATGCACCATGTGTCCTGACACAATCAAACATGTACATTTTGCTGTTATTGTTGCTATTTTAACTGATGAAGGTAAATTGAAGGCGAGATGTTCCACTTGGTGGTCTTTCCAAGGGTCTTACTGTCCCCTGAGAGAGCTGTACTCATAACAGCCCAGGACATCATGCACGCGAGGGACCATCAATGAAGAACGGTGTTGGTCCCACTTGAGCTCCTAAAAGACAATGGTAGCTTGTGCAGTGCCTGCCCATCCTGAAGCTTCTGGGGTTCAGATGAGCACGCCATGTTCTTGACAACAAATGGTTTGCAGGTAGACTCTTATTTGCACGAAGCAACTTTTTATATAGGACAAAAACAAATGAGAACCGAAAACAACACAAAGCCTATTTGAAAAGAGGGGACACGCAGAGTATAAACCTGGAGTAGCCAAGGTTCTGGGGAGATCTGAGTGAGGACGAGTAGGGTAGGAGGTCGTGAAGGAAGCAGGAAATGGCGAGAAAACAGAGGTGTACATAGAGGTTGGAGATTTTTCTCTTCTGTGATGTTTTACCTGTAACTATTCTCTGAGGAAGGGTTCTGGGTGAGTCAGGGTCCAACAAAGCCCAGGGCTGCCAGGCTGCTGCTGGAGCTCCCGGGCCCATCCTCTCTCCACCTCCATGGTGGCACCCCACCCAGATTCCTTTCTTGTCAAACTTGTTTTCAGCCACCCAGGCCCTCTAGTCTGTGACCTATCAGTCAAACCTTCTGTTACCCGGGACACAAATAGATCGAGGGTGTCAGATAACACGGTAGTTTGGTGAGGAAGAAGATCATTTGAGGCTATTATACCCCTCCATAATTCCCCTTTCCTGGTCACCAGGTACCTTTAAGGCCTGACCTGTTTCTCAGTCTCAGATTCACTCCTAGAAGGGCAACTGAGTGCATGATTCATACCTCCTTTTATTTATTTGCTTTGATGTGTTCATTATCCCTCTGGAGCAAACCGGTGGAACATTTGAGTCAATTCTATTTTTCTTGGGGAAGCAGCGTAACACAAAATTGGAAGATGACAAAGTCGGGCTGTCACCGCTGCACTGGAGTGGCACAGAACACTGTGTGCAATGTGTGCAGTGAGGTAAGGGCAGTGACAAGCCATGAAGTGATGAGATTAAGTGTGTAACCACATCTTAAACTCAAGCCATATTCCCTAAGAACTAACTGGATGGTGACATCCCATTAATACTTGTACACAGGACTCAGCACGGGCTTAGTGGGTACACCTGGGGACTCCCTGAGAAACCCTGCTAACCAGACGTCTCTGCTGCCAGCCTTTGAGCCTTTCCAGAAATACTCAGGACCACTAGCGACACGGGCTGCGAACACAGTGAAGAAGTAGCTGCCTTTGAAGCAGTTAAGAGGGGATCTAAGATGTGCAGTGGCGCCTGGTTCACACCAGACAGACACACCACCAAAGCCACTTAGGCAAATACTCTCAGTGAAAATGGGGTTGCTTCAGTGACCAGGTCAGAGGCCGGGGCCAAGTTGGGAAGAATGGTCATTGCCACCTGACAGGGCAAAGGTGCTGAATAGTTACTACAAGCCAGGCACTGCAATCTCAATCAAACCAGTATTGGGGAGGGGGGAGAGAAATGATTGAATTTTCGTAGGGGCAGGGACTTTTCCTGCAGCTTGTTGGCAATGCCTGGGAGTTTCATGGAGTCTCTTTCCCTGCAGTGCACCCCCTCTCCCAGTGTGGGGAGGGGAAGGGAGGATTAGGCTGAGGGAAAAGGAGGGAAAAGAAACTAAATCACCTTTCTACTCAGGAATTTGCCCAGCGCCAGAGTTATTAGTGTTTCCCAGGTAAGGATACAAGAAGTTAGCAACCGCAGAGTCCTTCATTCTTTCAAGTACTGTTTTCTTTCTGTGTGTGTTCCCAGAGACTGGATGCCTGGGCCTGCCTCCTAAGTTCGCACAGGACATGGGTTAGTTTTTTTTGTTAATAGAAAGAAATAGGTCAGAGAGAGAAAAGGTAAAGCCTGCGGCAAGGGAAGAATGGGTGAGGGCGAGTGTATGGTTTCCTGAGGATCTCAGGGCAGGATGCTCAGCCCAGGCCAGCCCTATAAGCTTGTAGCCACCCACCGCTGGTCTCTGATCTTCAGATTCCTGCCTCTGCTTACTACCCCGCTACCCATCCAGCCTAGCCTCCCAGCGATGGCAGAGGAGATGCGGGGGGCGGGGGGGGGGTTCTCCTTCACCCTGAGGCCAGGGGTTCTCTTAGATTAAAGGCTGCTTCCACTAACTCTTATAAGAGATGAAATGCTGTCGCTGACCTTTCTGGAAAGGACTTTTACTTGTGTTCAAAACCCTCAATTAACCTCAGGCTCCACAAGAGGAATGACTGGCTGTCCGGTGTCTGTCCCTGACCACCTGCGGCAGAATGGTTCGTGGGTCGAGGCAGTCAGTGGAGTGGGTACAGGGCGTGTGGTCAGATCTTCCCTAAACACAGTACTGGCTATAGGTTGTCTCTCCTGGGACCGGATAGATAATTCATTTTTATATGTAACGTTTTACCTCACTCTATAGCTCTGACCGGTTAATATTTAACCCTCGGGCTTGAGGCGTCTTGAAGGAGGCAGGCGGGGGTGGCCTACTCAAGGTATATGGCCGTTCAGGAGTGAAGACGCAGAGGCCAGGAGAGGGTGAGAAGGGATGTGAAGGGGAGGGCTCCTTTTGCCACAGACTGCAGCCTCTGGCTGCTACAAGGTCGCGCCCAGACTGTGTCCAGGGACCGCCAGCCACGCTGCAGTTCCAGCCCTTTTCAGCGTTTGCAGGGTACAAGCGCTAGGGTCCGAGTACCTTCACAGCTGGACCCTGCGGCCATCCGAAGTGCCCCAGCCAAAGGTGCTGGACCCCGGATCCAGGGCTACTGGCTGCGGGCGTGGGAGGGAAATGGGTCCAGCAACCGACAAGGTCAGATCGTGTTATGTCGAGGGACACGGAAACCATGCTGAGACCCAATAGCTCGAAACTGGACGTGCGTAGGTGGCCCTCAGGGTTCCATATTCTCCTTCTGTCTCAGAAAAATAAGACTAGATGAAATGGAGGTCCGACCTCTTTCCACCGCCCCTAGCTCTTACCTCTGGCCAAAAACAAAAGCAAAACCAAAATAAAACAAAAAAGCCAGAACATTTAGATGAAGCGGTCGCGGGGATCGGTGGACAGCCTTAGAGCTGGACTGTACCGAACCACCGCGTCTAACGACCCTAGGAGAAGTTGGCCTTGAGGGCACTCTCAGGTGGAGCCAAGGCATCTGGGTGATCCGAAGGGCCAAGCTCAGTGGGCCGGGCGGAAAGGAACTCGAGGGTCCAAAATGTTTTGTCCAGCTGCCCAGGGCCTGGTGTTTGGTAATCGGCAAACCAGTCCAGCTATGCAGGAGAAGGAGGTCGAAGCTTGGGAAGCTCCGCGAGGGGGACGCTGAAGCCTGGAAGGGCAGTCCAGCAGCCGCAGACAGGATCCACCCCTTTGTCATTGAAACAGATAAGAAACCACCTCATCAGATAAAATCAACCCCCTCTACCCCATTTCTGGATTTCAGCGGAGACCTGAGGCGCTGAGGTTGACGAAGTCTTGGGACTGAACATCGGCCTGAGGCCCAGAGTACGCAGAAGGCTTTTATTTCACTTTCCTTTGTTTGATATTACTTTATTTTCAAAGAGATCTGTAGCCCTGGGTTCTGGCAGGCAAAGCTCTGTCCTGAGGATGGCCTGCTGGGTCTCCACCTCTGTCCCCGGACTTCCCCTCCCCCCTCCTTCCGCGGCCGCACACAGCGAGGTGAAGGCTGTCTAGGAGACAGGCGGTCAACCAAACGCAGCCATCAGCGAGAAGTGACACCCGAGAAAGCCCTGCCTCTCCATCCCGAAAAACAGAGAAGGATGTCATCAAAGTTTTCTTCTTTCAATTTTCCCCTTTGTGCAGGAGTCAACCCTGCCGTGATACCTCGTTGCCTGGGCTGTTGTCAGAGGCGGAGCAGGAGTACCGGGCTGCCAGTAGACTGAGTTCCGAGCCACACTCGAAACCCTGCCCCACCTTTCTACCGGAGACTGTAAGGAGGGTTCTAGGTATTATCACCTCAAAGAGACTAGCAGAAGGGCTCCAGCTCCTGACCGTGTGCGCTGCGACTCACTGAAAGAAGCAAGGAAACTCTTCTAAATCTTGAACAAGAAAGCTTTGGCCGAGTCTCGAAGGAAACAGCACCAAGACTTAATTTTGGTATAACAGCCTCCAGCACTACCGGGCCATTATCTAAGTTGCTAGAATGGGGAATTGGGGGGTGGGGGATGGCAGGGGGCGGGTAGCGGAGCAAACAGCAAAACAAAGCAAAGCAAAACCTTAGCTTGGTGCAAAGAAGATAGTAAGGCGAAGAAAAAGACAGAGAGAGAAAACCCCATGAAACCTTAAACATTTTCACCAGAAGATTAGGAGAACCCAATTGGGGGGGGGGGGGAGATCCATTAAAATCACAGGGTTCTCCTCATCTTCCCCCCCCCAACACGCACAGGTTGGGGAGCAACTACTTAGTCTCAACTTCATTTAGTCTTCTTTAAAAAAGACAGAGGAAGAAAGGCAATTGTGCGACACTATCACCCCAAAGTAAATATCTTCTCCATACAGTCTCTGGATGTTTTTAAAAGCATGTTTTAAAGCAAAAGGAAGCTAGATGGTTCTAATAGACATTCTTCAGCTAAGCAGCTTAAGCTCCAAGTATCTCCCGCTTTCCGAACTGCTACAGTGCATCGCCACAAAAAGAGAAGCTGTGATTTTTTTTAGAGCAATTAAGTCAAATTAACTACTTTAATGGGGGTATTTTCTTTCTTGCAGGACTCCCTTGGCCCTCAAACAAAATCTAAAACTAACATTTACATAAAGCATAAAATATTCAGAACAGAAATGATTTGCATCCGGAACACAATAAATTCTACTTTCTATCCTTTCCGATAGAAAAATCAACAATGAAAAGGTCTCCCTTGGGCGGTAAGAGGGGCGGGGGTGTGCAGGAGAAGAGAGGAGATGACAACTTTGAAGCCCAGCATAAAATCTCCACGGTTTCATCTGCTAAAAATCTGAAGAGGTAAATCAGATATGTGTTTACAGAGGTATTCCAACAGTTCATTTTAAAAACATCTCCTCTAGAATTATCGTTTTTCGGGTTAAATTAAAACACAATGGTTTGGGGGGATGGGAGGAGGATGTTTTTTAACTCCCTCTGAAAAATCTGCTGTTGGAGATTCCTTCCCTTGTCTTTCCAGACCTGCTTCACTGAGTCCAGCCCGTCTCCTGCATGTCAGTTGGCTTGCTTACATTAACTGCAGTTCGCTGGGGGTTTATAAATCAATCAGTAGGGAGTCTATATTCATAAAGACTCTGATCTGGTTACACCCCTCCCTCTCTCCTCAACTCAAAAACCAAAAAGTTACACCTTCCAGCGGTGACCCCTTCTAGCTCAGCTGTGGTGGGTGGTGGACCGACTGAGGCTTGGGGAACTGGGTGACAGGCGTCGGGGTCTCGTGGATTTGGATGTGGATTGCAGGACAGACCTTTGTTTTGGTCACTGCGGTGACAGGGGGCAGAGGAGGTTGTCCTTTTTCCTGAACACAGGAATTTTATAGACACTCCTTAAAAGGGTTCGCTGCTCTCCACGGGTTAATTTATAGGGCTTTCGGGGAATATTGGGACTTTAAAGATACCATTTTTTCCCCATTAATTTGTTGGTGGTGTTCTTACACTCCTAAGAGGACTCGGGGTTTCAACGTCCTGGGGAGTTCTGCAGAGGGAAAAACCAGGTCAGGGAAAAGAGGATTCCTTTTCTGATCAGGGTGGCTGTGGTACTGGGCTTGGCATCTTATTTCCCATACATTTATAAATAAGTTGTGGGCATTACATCTGAGATTTGGGAACTGGGAGGTGACGAGAATGAACAGGGTCTGTATACACCTTTCTCCCAGCCTCCACCAACCTGAATCCCGTATCAGAAGAATGGCGAGCATGGAGATCCAAAGAAGATTTTTAATTTTTTTTCATAAAACAAAAGCCTAGTTTTAATGTAGCCATCAAGGTGGGCGAGGGTTTCAGGGTGTAGCAAGTGGGTGAGTAGTACCTGGAGACTACCCCACTGCGGGTCTAAGCAAGGCCTCCTTCGCTTTCCGCCCGGTTGCTCTGGCTCTCCCTGAGGTGCCTTGCTGGGCACCCAGGCCACCGAGGCCTGGGTCTCCCGCTATGCGCTCGCCATGTTTGAACCCACGCGGGGGAGGTTGATCTTCATACTATAGATTACCTTAAAGTTTCCTTTAAGCGCTTTAATACACAACTAGCTCAGAAATCATTAAGAGACATAGAGAAGGAGAAAAAAAAATACCCTCACACTCACCGTAATAAGTGTTGACATGCAGCAAAAATCGATTGAGTGGAACTGAGGTGGTGGAGGTGGCGATGGCTGGGGGGGGGAGGGGGAGATCCGCGTAGGAGCGGGAGGGGCGAGGGGGCGGACTCCACCCGCTTGGGAACTAGGCTTCGGCGGCTCCAGGAGAGAGAGGAGCTGCCTGGAGGGTGAGTTGCTTCAGTCCTGGACGAAACCGAGAACGCAGCTGAGTTGCTTGAGACCGGGCCTATCTTCTGTCCCAAGTCTCCGCCCCCAGTCTGAACCTCTAAAGTCGGGGAAGTGATAACTCATTTATTTATTTATTTATTTATTTATTTATTTATTTATTTTATTTTTTTTCATTTTGATTTCCTCTAACAGAATTCTAGTTGAGCCAACAAGCTAGGCCGAGACTCACCTCTTTAAACGTAGGCTCTCAAGTCACCCTGGGTTAGACCAGCCGGAGAAGTAAACTGGTCAGCTGCCTTCTCCGGCCCTTCCAGGCAGGATCCCCAACTCTTTCACCCAGTATGCTCCCCCCAACCCCCAGCTCTCCCCTAACCACGGCGAGGCGCAAGGAGGCAGGGACTGGCTCCTCCTGCCCCCTCCCTTCCCTGTTCCAGAAGGCAAAGTCCGCCTCGGGTGACCGCTTTCCTCTCCACTGCTCTCAAGAGAACAGGGACTGAGGTGACCCTCGACCAAAGGCCTTCTATCTGCCCCCCACCGCCGCGTGATCCCGGCACACGGACAGGGGCAAAGCTTTAAAAAGAAAGAAAGAAGAAAGTTAATGTTCACGGGGCACTTGATCTTAAATTGGGGATATTATCTGCGGCCTGTTTAAGTGGCAGCGGCAGATCTTCGCAGAACAAAGACTCGGTGTCTGAGCTCCGAAAGCTCCTAGGTAGAGTTTCGGTGAGATAAAAAGAACTTAAGCGTAAAAAACACCGGCTTTCCCGGCTTCGGAGAATCGGAGGCCACTTTTTAATACCAGTTCCCTGGCTGCTGTTTGTCCTAGCATACTTAGTGGGGAGGTTGGGTGGGGTGGGGGGCAAGAATAACAAAAGGCCTCAGCCCACCCTCTGGTGACCCTCCCAGCGCCTAGGCCGTGAAGTCTTCTGGATGGAGTAAGCCTTATTTGCAGCTATTGGTTACAAAATCAAATTTCACGTTGAACAAAAAGGAGCTAAAACACGCAGCAGCGCTGGAAGGGAGGAGGCGGGGGCTTAAAAGTTCTTTCCGACACTCACATGGACCCCAGTCCCTGTTTAGATGTCAGAGGATGGGGGAGGGCCCAAGCTGTAATTCATCTTGATTTGCTTCATTGTCCTGCAGTTTGCAAACTATAATCCTGTATAATTTCAGGAACAAGCAGGTTTAGAATTAATGGGTCAATATTATTTAAAACAAAACACAGGGATCATGACCTTTGCCTCAACTACATATTGCTCTACAAGACTCAGGAAACTCCACTCTCACCCTCCGACCCCTGGGTTCTTTGACACACTGAAACGGCTGGAGTTATTAGAAATAGTCTTTGTTTCTTTTAATGTCTCCAAAGGACTTGGAAATAGTAATACAATATAAATGAAGGATCTCTCTACTTAAGCCGCAGAGATAAACGCGGAGGCCTAAATATTTTGAACTGAAGGTGTTTCCTTGTGAATTTATTATAGATGTGTCCCTTCTAAGAAGTTTATGTATATAAACTGTGCATGTGCACACTCCCGTATTTCTCCGGAATGGTTTACTGGAGGTGTGGCTTCCCCTCTGACTGAGTAAGCTAGGAATCATTCCAAGCTGCTTGGGGTACTTCAACATTTCTTTCACCTTTCTGCCTTCTCTCGTATTATTTGCTAACGACAATTATTTGCTAGCGACAATAGCATCTTATGGATTTAGGCCAAATAAAAAGTCCGAGGCACACAGCAAGTTGCAGCTTCCCCACCTCCCCAGAGCCCTTCTTTCCCTCTTTTAGTTTCTACGTCTAACTGAATTTAAATACTGCCTGTCTGTTTGACTAGGCAGGCAGAGGAAACTGGTTTGTTTAGGAGGCAGTGACGGAGGCACCCTAGCCAGGTGACAGAGAAAGGGAGAAAGAATCCAGACCAATTTGTATGCAGTATATTTTACTCCCAAGAAATAAAACACATTTTTTTCATATTTGCTGAAAAGTAAAACGATAATATCGTACGAAATGTTATACACAGGATAGTTGTACATAGCAGTTTCAGAAACAATGCATCCACCAGAGAAACTATTCTAAAACTTATATTCACACATTTTTATAATAATAATATGTTAGAAACATACAGTGTGGCATTTAGTATATACATTCCTTTGCTCGCAAGCGAAAAATTCTAGCCGATTCTGTATAACATGCTTTCTTTTAAAGTCTAGACTTTAAAAACACTGTCGTGATAGTACTAACAACTGCTTTTATAAAATTAATTTGACATTTCGATATATATACATCCTTTCAGTCATTTTAATGTTAACAATGCTAAACTTAAAAAATAACAAGCTTATAGTAATGTTAAAATGTCATATCCAGTCAAACATTTGTTGGTGTACGCGTTCTCACAACTGTTGGAAATACTTTTAGCGAAAGATGTTAGACACTTGGGGGCGTTCCTTTGAAATCAAAGGCGCTCTCTTTGAATGCAGTGGTTTCTTCTTTCCCTCCGATATCTTCTTTTTCCTCTTCCTTTCTGTAGTGCGCACGACCTTCTAGCTCAATTCTCAGTCTTTCTGGGGCAGAGTTGCCCCCTCCTACAGTCCTCGGATCCCCGCGCGCTGGGCGCGGTTCACACCGGCCTGTCGACTGCGTACTGGCAAGCACTCAGGTTGGAGGCCGGGTTCTGCACGCTGGCGTAGCCGAAGCTGGAGTGCTGCTTTGCTTTCAGTCTCAGGCTGGCCAGGCTCGAGTTACAAGTGTCCCTATAAACGTACGGAGGAGTCGGCGGTGCGTAAGGACAAGCGGGCGTCGGCACCGCGGAATTCAGCGACGGGCTGCTCAGGTTGTTCAAGTTATTCAGGCTATTGAGGCTGGAGCCCGGGACGCCGGTCACCGCGGAGGGCACCATGCTGGACGACATACTCATGGATGAGATGGAGTTGGGCGGGGAGAACATGCTCTGCGACGACAGGGGGTTGACGTTCATAGAGTTGAAGAAGGGGAAGCTTTTCGTGGACAGGGACGCCGACGTGAGGCCCTTGGCGGCCCAGTTATTGTAGGAGTAGCCAGGGTACATGTCATCGTAGGGCTGCATGAGCCCATTGAACTGCGGCCCGAAGCCATTCTTGCACAGCTCAGCCTGTTGGTTGCGTTCCCGTTTTCTCCATTTGGCCCGGCGATTCTTGAACCAAACCTGTGGTGGTGGGGATAAGGGATGAGACAGAGGATACAATTAGTTCAAAACTCATACAAAGTGCCAGAAGCCAACCTGGGTCACACTCTTGCTGCCCCGTGTCCCCGCAGGCTACTCGGCCCTGCAGGCCACTGAGCACAGTGGAAACAATGCGTTGGTGCTTGTTCCAGGCCTGGGTAAAGCTCTGAGGCCTAGTTCGCTCCAGCTGTATTGCAAAGCCCAGTCGAAAGCCTAAGAAGGGCCTATGGGTCGCTTGATCCCCCACGTCCCCAACCTAGGCCCTATTTGGAGTCCACACTACAAAATAAACGGGACCCTTACCGGACCTTGCAAACTTGCTTCCCCATTCCAAAGCTACAGATTCAGTGATGAGGTCCCGAGGGACAAGAAGGGCACCCACTCTCCTCCCACACAGCCCCTCCTTTCCCTCCAGTACCTCTACTCTTTTCCTTGCCCCACAACTCCCCCCCCCGTCCCCCAACGGATGCGACACCCTTCCTCTCCTAGAAAAATAACCAAATAAAAGGCAAAAGACCACCTACTCGTCTGCTCGTTAAATTTCAGGAGCTAGGCAAACTGGGAATTCTGAAACAGCTTTTCCGTCCCGAACCCTCCCTTCGTTCTGCATTGTACCACGCTGCTCCCACCCAGGCCTCGCTAGCTAAGGACTCAGCTCTGGACAGAACTAGTGCAGTCTTTCGACTTTGCGGGAGGCTACTCAAGCTGGCCAGCCCCCAACCCGCGTCTGGTGGCCCCGCCACAACCCCTCTTCCAATCCACACCGGACCCGCCGGTCGCCCCAGACAGCGGCTTTTGTGTATTGGAGCAAAGCCTGGCCCAGCAGCCCAGAGCTAACACTGGTGCTGTTTTACATTACACATCCCTGTCGCGCCCAGCCGTCTAATCCGCTTTTTCCCCCCTTTTCCTTTCATTCTTGATTTTCTTTTTTTTCTCTCCCCCTTCCTCTTGCTATAAAAAGCTAGCCTCACGCACTTGGCGGAACAAGTAAGCTCCTGGAAGGCGGCAACTGGAGCGAGTACCCCACAGCAGAGGAACAGGGCCGCAGAAAAGCGGGTGGGGTGAGAGGCCTCTCCCCGGGGATTTCAGGGAAAGACAAATTGTGTCTTTATTTTAATTACTTGTCACTTCTTCTCCAGGCCTTCTAAACTTTGACCAGGCGAGAAGAATACGTGCAAGGCCCATCGTTCCCTGATGCTAAAGAAAGCTAAAGAAAGACTGACCTTGCTCAAAACCACGCGGCCCCAACACGAGCGCTGGCTCCCGGCAGTTAAACTAAAACCCACCACGTCTTCCCGGCTCTTTTATCAGCCGGCATAGTCTAGCTTGCACCAGGGCCGCACTGAAAGTGCTTAACTTCTCTCCGCTTTGGGGAAATACACTTTGGTTTTTACTTTCGTTGTTTTCTAATATTTTCTTTCTTTTTGCTCCCCCCGCTTTGTTTTTCTTCTACACAGACCGCGTTGCATTTTATAAAACCGCGATCTATGTAGAGTCTGCTGGGTTCTGCTTTCCTCTTTCAGAATCCTAACAATTTTGGAAATTCCCACCAACCGGCGTTAAACAAGGATACTGCTACTGGGTAATTTATTTAAACATTCATTTTTTCCCCCACCAGTCCGTAAAGGGGCAGATTTGCTACAGAGTAAAGGTAAGTCCTCTTTATAAATCTATAACTATAATTAAGCGAGGGGTGTGAGTACAGCCTTCAAAGA